TAAATAGTACATGTGACATATTATAGTAATACGTATTTAAACAGTAAGAGTGTTTAGTTCACGTCAAAATTAAAAATTTGGTTAAAATTGAAACGATGTGACGAAAAAGTTAGAAGTTTGTGTGTGTAGGAAAGTTTTGGAATTAATTCTAAACTTTTTCTTCGAACTTCCAACTTTTTCTATCAGATCAAAACTTTCCCATACACGTAAACTTCCAACTTTTCTATCACATCGTTTCATTTTTAACCATATTTTCAATTTTGGCGTGAACTAAACACACCCAAAGTTATAAGTATCTAGATTCGTAGTACTATAATATTTAACGTCCAATACTATATTATTTTTTTTATTGGACGAAGAAAGTACTCAGTATATCATCCACACGTCGCTCTATTCTCATTGACGTGATTACTCCATTCGTTTCGTTCTAAAATAAACTTATTTTTCACTTATCCTGTAGGTAGAAAACTAAATTATCCTCGCTTTACTAAATTCCAATGCAATTGTATCGCTTTATTTGTTTCCAATGTATAACTTTTCCTTTTTTTTACAAACTATCACTATCCCGTCTCATAATAAGTTTATTTTCCATCCGTTCCACATGTATCAAAATAAAAAAATGACTAGTATATTTCTACTTTATCAAATCCAAATGTAACTACTTCTTACTTTATCTTTTAGTACAATTATTCTCTATTTTTATGAACTTACTTTGGGATAAATAAAAGGAGCAATAAATAAACTTAATAAGAGGTTGAGGAAGAGGAAATACTCTACAATGCAATAAGTTATTCAAAGGAAAGCTTATTTTCGGATAAGCTCAAGGAGTAAAAAATAAACCTGTTTATGGAGAGGCTAAGGCTGTATTTGCAACCCCTGTTCCCAACCCCTCTTATTTGTTTTCCACGCGTACGTTTTTCAAATTGCTAAACGGTGTATTTTTTATAAAAAATTTCTATACAAAAGTTGTTTAAAAAATCAAATTAATCTATTCGTTTTTCAAATAGCTAATACTTAATTAATCACGCACTAATGGACCGCTCCGTTTTTCGTGTGGAGGGAATAAGTTCCCATTCACCATATGCGAACACAGTGTAATGGGACATCATCAATGTTACTATACCATCATATTGAACCATGGCTTCAATGATATTGGTGTCGTGAAAAGATCTATTTTTGAAATAAGTTCTTTTTTTTTCTAATAAATAAGTTTTCACAATGGAATAGTAAAAGGTGAAAAATCCAGGGCACCATCGCTGGCGATCGATGCGCCTTGTGCCTGGCTCTGGTTGCTGCGACTGCGATGCTCCTGCGGCGTTGGCAGATCAGGTGATGGATGGACGGCTGGCTGGCTGACAGCTCCACCGATGATGGGCTGGGCCCTCGAGCGCCGCGCGCCTCCTTGACTTGACCGTCTACCACGACCCTCCCCCTCAACCCTGACCGGTGGGTCCCACACCCACCTGTACAACCCATGCCTGCACAGTCCACGGCACTGTACCGTCCGTTCTTCCGTTGGATACACCAACCATCATTTGACAAGCTCGTCGTGTCGTTCGTTACACCATCATGCCGAAATTGCCAACCCATTCGTCGTCCACGTCTACTCCCTCCGTCTCAAGAAAAAAAATATGATATGTTCTAATACGATAAATCTGGACAGATGTATGTCTTATTTTATAATACTAGAATATGTCACATTCGATACTAGGTTGATTTTCTTTTTGGAACGGAGTGAGTACGCTATTCATTACTTTTTGGATGGAGTAGTACGTACTAGAACTATTTTTATCATAAAATATAAATAACTTTGATTAGATGTATTACTATCAACCCGAATAGAGTCTATCTAGAGGCCTATTTACATCGTAGCTAAAATAAATCTTATTAAATTTTAATATAGATGGTAATATTGTTAAAATTTTGACATGATTTCTTATTTATTTACTAAATTTAGCAACAAATTAAACGTGGATATTTTTTTTGGCACCTTTAAAAAAATAGTATGGTTAAAAATGGCATCAATCTAAATATCCCCTATATTACTCTAATTAAGATCTTTTATATTTTGAGGATGGATTACAAAGAAAATGAAGCAGCCGCAAATGGTACACGGAAGAAAAATGGGTTGTTTATCGGGCCGTGTAAGGGCCTTATCATTTGCCCTATGGCTTATAAGACAAAGCTCAAATTTGAATTTTAAAACTTAATTTTGAACTTGATTTTGATGCTTTTTCAACATAGTTTTTTTTAGCTTTGGCTTTTCAATCACTACGAACATATATGCAAAAATTTTACTCGCATATCATTTTTTAATCGTTAATAAGCCATTATGGTTTATAATAAGCCATTACCAACCGATGGGACCATAAGACATGCCGCGTCGTACTCCGTACTAGTACTCCTCCCGCAAGACGACAAGATTATACGTGCAGCAGCAACGGGAGATCGAAGAGGGCGCAATGTTTCGCCACGTCCGTCCTTACCATCGTACGGCCACCATCCACTCCTCGCTCCTCGTTACGATTCGTACACCTACTCGTACTCCACTCGCGACCGCGGGTGCAAAATCCCGGTCATACCCTCCTCACTGACAGGTTTGACCGCTAGGGTTAACCGCAGAAGACGACAAAACGTAAAGGGTAGCGTCGTCTTTTCAAGTCGGCCCAAATGATTGACGTCCCCGTCCTCTGTCGGCCACCGTGGCGAAATTCATCTTCTTCCCAGGAAGGATGGACGGTCGGATCCGATGGCGGTTTTTCTTCGCAGTGTCTCGACCGTCCGATTGCCCGGGTTCGCGACCGCCAAATTGTTTGTTTGGCGCCAAGGTTTTCCCCCCTCCTCCCGATTTGGGATCCTTTACATCCTCACCCTTCATCTCGTGCACAATTTCAACCATATCCCTATTCAAATACCGATTCATCAAAATTGATTCAGGCCGTGTTTAGTTCTACGCTAAAATTACAAGTTTGAACAAATTGGAACGATGTAACGGAAAAGTTGAAAGTTTGCGTGTAGAAAAATTCAACGTGACAGAAGTTAAAAGTTCGAAGAAAAAAAGTTAAAATCTAAACAGGGCATCACTTCAAATATTTAGTGATTGTAGTATTATTTTGGAAAAGGAGGGGGTGAAGCGTAAAATGGAGCTGCACGGATATCCACGAGGGGGGGCGGCAGCGCCTCGCGGGCCGCGCTTGTCGGTGTTAACTCCGGCCGCCACGTGGAGCGGCCGCCGGTGATCATCGACAGCTGGATCTCACGTGCCGCTCCCCCCTGGCGCCGATCTCTCTGCACCGTCGGATCGTCGCCGACGGCCCGGATGCGGCCCCACGCAAGCGGATAAGGGAAAGCCTGGGTGGTGTGGTGGTGGGCCGTCACGTGCCCCTCCCCACCCTCGAGTCTCGGCGTGGTCAACGTGGGGGGAGCCGATCAAGTAAATTCTTTACGCCCAGATTAGGGGTGCTTGGATGGGCTAAAATTTTTTAGCTCATGTCACATTGGATGTTTGGACGCTAATTTAGAGTATTAAACATAGATTAATAGAAAAACTAATTTCATAAATGAGAGCTAATCCACGAGACGAATTTTTTAAGCCTAATTAACCCATAATTATCAAAAGTTTACTGTAGTATCATATTGTAAAAATTATGGCGTAATTAGACTCAAAAGATTCGTCTCGCGAATTAGTCTAATGTTATGAAATGGGTTTTATAATTAGTGTATGTTTAATACTATAAATTAGTGTCAAACATCCGATGTGACAAGGACTTGAATAAGTTTCTGGAAACCAAACAGCTTCTTAGAGAGCCGTTAACCAGTAAAAAAACGTAATTAAAAATGCAATTACTGCGCTAACTACAAGAAAGTGTAAAAAAGATGTAGTACAGATAGAAATGTGCATAGGCTTTTTTTTACTACACGAGTCAGAGAGGGGCTAGTGTACAAAGGTGGCTTTTGAGCATCAAACGGGAGGCAGTAGTCACTCACACGCTCACACGTGCTGTACTTAACTTTGCATGCGATCCCATCCATCCATCACGGCGGACGTCGCCGTCGTGGTTGTCGCCGTCGGCGGTCGCATCCGTCCGGCCAAATGTGGCATCTTTTCACGGATCGCCCATCTCGTCGCCGATGTCGGCACTGTTTTGGCTCGGCATCCATCATGGTGTTAAAACTGTGTGGTGTGGGGTCTCACCAGACTGTGACACATTTTTCCCACCGGCTAACCACTTCACCCCTGACAGGGTAAATGCTGGTTAAAAAAACACATCACACACTAGTAATAGTAATTATCTTTCTTAAGGGCCCTTTCATTTGTAAAAAAACCATATGAATTTTGAGAGGATTTCAATCTTCTAAAAAAATTCCTATGAAGACTTTTAGAACAAAAAATTGAATCCTATAATATTCTTTGGATGAAACAATTCTATAAAGACTTTAAAAAAATTAGTAAAAGCTTCAACCTGTTAGAAAGTTTGCTTCGAGTCTATATTTCTCATTCAATTTATGCTATTCAATCAAACAATTATTACTGTGTTTTTTTTTGTGTTTTACCATTCTTTATCTTATATTTATATTACTGTTAAAATAGGTGTTTCTTTCTATTCATTTGATCCTTATTATTAACCGCTGTTGAATTCAGCAAACTGATTCTGGTTTGTCGTGTCGTGTTGATACCGTGCAGCGTAACGTTACTCTTTACCCCCTGCTGCTGCTGCAGCATGTCGCAGCAAATATATTGTTTAATTTAATCAATTTGCCTGCAAAGACAACAACCACGCCAAAAATTTTTCTGAAACAGAGATGGGAGTAGTGTACCACCACACAGTGGCAGTGGAACCACCTACCCCCTGTCAAAAAAATTAACCACGGATTAACTCCCCCGTTTCACCTTGCATCCCAGAAAATCCACACGCCGACGTGGCGGCCTGTGATTGGTTGGCTCGACGTGATGGGCCCCGTTTGTCAGATTATTTACCGTGCGGGGTTATATATAGGGGAGGTTTTGTTTACCACGGTGTGCTTTGCTCTCTTGCCTCTCCTGTCTCTTTCTCGGATTTTTCTCATCGAATCTCTCCACTTCACTAGCCAAAAGTACAGTACCACCAGTGTACTTCACCGTTTGATGCGCCTCGCCGCCGGCAATGGCATCCGCCGTCGCTAGCACCATGCCCTCGCCGCCGCCGCCCGCCGTCTCGTTCGGCTGGCTCGCCCCCACGCGCGTGTCGCCGCCACCGGCATTGCCGGCGGTGGCGGTGGCGGCGGAGCAGGCTGTGTCGAAGGAGTTCATTGATTTTGAGTTCAGCCTTGGTGGATCTGCGACCATGTTGCCGGCGGATGAGCTGTTCGCCGACGGGAAGTTGCTCCCGCTCCGGCCGCATCCGGTGGCGGCGGAGAAGGCGGTGGCGATGGAGGCGGAGAAGGCGGTGCCGGAGCTCGTGAAGGCGGTGCGGCCTGCGGTGGCGGTGGCAGCGGAGGTGTTCGACCCGTACGTGTTCTCACCCAAGGCGCCGACGTGCTCGAGCAGGTGGAGGGAGCTGCTCCGGCTGAAGAAGGTCCAGACGCCGACGAAGCCGTCGGCGTCGACGTCCGCATCGCCGTCGACGGCGACGGCGGCGACGCCGTCGAGATCCTCGAACTCCTCGGCGGCCAGGTCGCTCAAGCTGCTGCTGCTCCAGCGGAACGGCGGGCGCGCGTCTGGCGCCGCCGCGTCGGACCTCTCCGTGGCGCCGCTCCTCCGCGACAGCTCCGACTCCGAGGCGTCCCTCTCCCTCGCGTCCTCCCGCTTCTCGCTCTCGTCGTCGTCGTCGTCGTCCTGCCACGAGCACGACGACTTCCCCCGCCACTCCCTCGACTCCGTCGACCCCACACCACGGCCCCGCCTCCGCCTCGTCCGGTCTCAACCACAGCCGCACCCTCCTGCCGCCGCCGCCGCCGCCGCCGCCGCCGTTGCCAAGCCTCGGGCGGCGATCCAGAGCCCCGCCCGGCGCCGCCCCTCGCCACCGCCGCCGCCTCCGCCGCAGGTGGCCTCCGTGGACTCGCCGCGCATGAACTCGTCCGGCAAGATCGTGTTCCAGGGCCTGGAACGCAGCTCGAGCTCGCCGGCAGGGAGCGTCCACTCAAGCCTCCGGTCGCGGTCGCGCGTCATGGACAGGTCCTACTCCGCTGGCGTCCGCGCCGCCACCCCCGTCGTGCTCAACGTGCCGGTCTGCTCGCGCCCGGTGTTCGGGTTCTTCAAGGACAGGAAGGACGCGGCGGCGAAGGACTCGTCGGCGTCGCGGCCTCGGTCGGCGCTTGGCCGGAAGACGGCGCCCCACGCCGGCAATGGCGGCGGCGCATCCAGAGATCTTGGTACTAGCAACTGACCTCCGTTTTGACTAAGCTAGAAGCATTAGCAATGTAACCTCAATTAGCCAGCCAAGTAGTCGTAGCATTTCCTTTCCAAAGAAAAGGAAACAACAAAAAAAGAACAGGGTGAGAGGAGAAATTTAGTTTGGGATTTGGAGTGAAGAGAAATTTCAAATTTGGAGGAGAGGATAGATTGTTTTGTGAAGTCATTTTGCTTGATGTTTTGGGAGAGGATCCTAGATATATCAGACCAAGCTAATTGGCCCATCCATTTTGCTCATTCTCATCTCATGTAAATCCAATCTAATCTTCTTTGCAACTACATTTTGCATTCTGTTTCTGCTTTGTACTACATTTGATCTGAGCTCGAACGAAGAGAAAAACATAAAACTATTGCACACGCTCTATTCTTGCAGTAAAACCCCAAATGATGGTTTCATGTGCGTTTGACAAAAAAGACTGATCCTTTTATAAACCATGGTAACTTTTCACCTTTTTTACCCGGCCTCGTGGGCATTAGTTTTACTGATGCAAATTGATGGAGATCGATGCCGGTTTAAACAGTGGGCAGATCGGAGAGCTGGGCGCCAGCTCGTCCACCATGTGTGCCGGTGATCGGGCACAGTGCTGCGCCATGTGCGGCCATCTGAATTCTCGTGTAAATTGCTCACTGTGGCAGTAAAAAAAGAGAGGAAGAAATGGAACGGATGATGAGTGAGTGCAGGGCTGCTGCGAACAGCGAAACTTTTGTGAAGGAAAAGGGCCCATTTTGGAGAGAGCGGTGGATTGCTATTGCTGGTCTCGCTTTGCTGTTTTGCTGCATTGCTGCTGCCTGCAGCGACGGAGGCGCTGCCAAAGTTGGGTGCCCATGTGGTCTCTCTGTGTGTGTGTTTGAGTTTTTTTTTTTTTTGCTCGTCTCTTTCTTTGGCTTCGCAGTGGCAAAGCAGCTTCTTCTTTTTTTTTTACTAGGATTTTCTTTTCGTGTTATCTTTTCTACTGCTACAGTTATAAGTGCTGCAGCCACCATTGGCCTTTGCCTGGTTGTTTTTGTTTTCCCTTTTTTTGACTCGTGCTAGTATAGCTTTACTAAGAGCAGGTAATTATAAGCCAGCTGCAAACATATTTTAAGAAGATAAATAAGGAGAGAGAAGGGCAGCGGACTATAGATTTATCGCCAGCTGTAGCACGGACTCCAAGACGCAGTGTGTATGACATGTGAGACCACGTATTAATAGTGTAGTATGTTTCTATTGTATGAATAAGCTATTAGATTAGCTATAAATGAATTGGAGCCATTAGTTGGCTATACTATTAAACTTGCTCTAAAGGCCCCTTTACCTTCTTAGTTTTTGTACAAGTTTGGTCCGAGTGTTACGTGTAGATTCCAACTTGACACGACCCTAGCCAACGGTAGGGGTACTAGACTAATAGTAGGAGTAGGATTTTCACTGCCTCGAGCAGCAGTGAACATTTGACCGCAGTAAAAAAAAGAAAGACAAGGATCCTGAGAAGAGAGAGAGATATGATGTGATGTGATGGGCAGCGCAGGATTCTGATCTGACGGCTAGGATTCTCGTGCGAGTGAATTCCTGCCCCTCTCCCGGGAGGCACAGCCCCCTGCGCCTCTGCCGCAAAATACTCCCTACTCCAACATTATTTTTTGGCGCCAAATACCGGTTAGTTTTTGTCCATGACACGCTCTAATTTGGCGCCTAATTTGCGTGCAAATTTCTCTTTTGAATTCGATCTGATCCAGCCCAGGAATGGAGGCCCACGTACATCTAGGGGAAAAAGTACACCGAATGTCCCTCAACTTGTCATCGAGTTACAAAATCGTCCCCTAACCGCAAAACCGATACAACGCATCCTCCAACTTATAAAACCACTACAAACTAGGTCCCTCGGTGGTTTTGACCCCGGTTTTATATGACGTGTCGGCTGAGTCAGCGTGGGACCCACGTGGGCCCCACATGTCAGAATGCAACATCAGCAAGGTCTCTCTCCCCTGCCACGTCAGCAAGGTCTGTCTTCCCTCTCCCTTCCTCTCTCTAATCTCTATCTCACTCTTCTCTCTGGGCAGGCCGTCCGGTGGTGGGGAGGAGGTCCGACGGCCGGCCGGCAATGCGGGAGAAGGGGCGACGCGGCGGCGGTGGGCCGGGAGCAGGCAGGAACCGCGGCGGTAGGCGCAGGGGCGACGGAGGATGGAGGAGGACGGTCGGAGCGAAGCTCAACGATGCGAGTCCTGTGACGAGCAGCCACTTGCGATAGGGGCGACGACGCTCGGGCATTCCCAGATTGGCCCGGCACGACTGCCGCTCTGATTGAGACCAGTGGAGGCGGCTCCGGTGTGATTTGGTGGCGAGTAAGGACGGAGCGAGCTCTGCCTCTATGTGGCGGGGCTAGGGTCTTCTAGCGACGAGGCGGCTTAGGGTGAGAAGCCCGTGGGCGGCTGATGGGGAGAAGAGGTTGTTGCTGAGCTTGCTCGAGCGGGCGGCCGCGGGCGGCATCATGGTTGGGACTTGGGGGCGCGGCTAGGCGAGGGAGAAGGTTGTTGTCGAGCTTGTATGCTGTTAGAGAAAGGAGAGAGAAAATGAAATCATGTAGCTCGAATTTGTATGCTGTTATTTGATAGTATCTGCAGGTATGAGTCTCGAAGTTGATGAGCATTCGATGATTAAATTTTAGTTGCATTGCATCTTCAAACAGTCCCCTTAGTTCGTGCTTATATGATTTATTTACAGAATTGATATTGTAGTGTTTGAATGTATTCAGGTTCTGAAGAGTTCCTGGAGCTTATTAAGAGTGCGCTTCTGGCAGCACTAGAAGGTTACTGTTTTGAACGCTTGAAACTTACTGAATTATTGGTTGCTTGAACTGCGAATTGTGAGCGAGTATAATTTATGTTGCTCCTCAGTTGTCTTTTTCTCTATGCAACAGCTCTGATTCCAGGCTCCCTGTTTAGACAGTATGATGTACAAGGTCCAATTCCAGTTGTAAAAGATGTTTTTATCCCTCCAGACACAGAAGAAGATGGGCTGCCTGCTGCCCTTGAAGATGCCATGCCTCTAATTTCATTTTTGGCCCCTCTATGTAAGAAGTGTTACAGTTTGTTTAGTCAATTTGAACATGTAATAATGACAAAGATAAATTTACAAGCAGATCGACACATGCAAAGATCGAATTGCTGCTGCCCTTGATACATTGCGATTTACGACATACATCTTCGTGGGAGCGAGGTGCTGCTTCTGGGCAGGAAACTGATACTGTTTTACTTGGTGGCCGAGGTTTTGGAGCAGCCATGTCTGCTCTAACTGACGCCCTCCCCCGACGTCCTGCTCTGCTCCCGCCGTCGCCTCGCCCGTGTGAAGCCGCTACACGCCGAGGGCGTCGCTGCCGCTGGAGCCGGGTCCACGTCCCGCCGCCGTCGAGGTCTCCCACAAGCCACATCCGGCGGAGAGGAGGCGCCCCTCCTCTGCCCTTTTGCTGCCTGACCCAGGCGTGGTGGCCTCCTCCCGTCGCAGCTGCCGCCGCCGGTTCTCCTCCTCTCCCGCCTCGTCCCGGGCGACCTCCTCCCCACCCCACCCGTCGGCCGGCTTGCCCAAAGGAGAAAAGCGAGAAAGAGAGGAGAAAGGGAGAGAGAGAGATGGTTGATGACGTGGCATCCTGACATGTGGGTCCCACGCTAAGTCAGCCGCCACGTCGGATAAAACCGGGATCAAAACCACTCAAGGATCTAAAGCGAACGGTTTTGTAAGTTGAGCGATGTAATATATCTGGTTTTGTGGTTGAGGGACGATTTGTAACTCGATGACAAGGTGAGGGACCTTGGGTGTACTTTTTCCTACATATCTAGGCCTCCTCAGCTAGAGGGCCCAATTAGTTTTTAGTTGGGCCATGCCCAATTGGTCTCAGTTAGTTGTTGTTCGTTGAGAAATGGGTTGATCTCTAGTAGAGTAATTAATCAGCTACTAGGAGTAGTATACTACCCGTGAAATTTTACTTAATTAATTTATTTACTAAATACTCTACTAGAGTTCAAAGGAAACAAGAAAACCTACTAATTAAGGCAGGGTGGAATTGGAGAGAAAGGTTGGAAGTTTAGGACTTTGTTTTGTCTCTTTTGTTGCTGCTGGATACTGTTTGGAGGCCTAGTGCCTAGCTTTATGTTTTGCTGTTTGGAACATGTATTGCGAGCTTAAATGCTCAGACTATGTAACTTTGGGGCTGCGTATATCTTGTGGGAAGTAGAGGTCTTTTTTTTTTCAAATCCATTATCTAAAGAAAAAGAAAACCATTTGTCAGATTCCATTTCTCTTATTATTCGTGAAAATTTTAGGTTACAAAATACTCAAGATTAATTAAAACGCGGACCAGGCCATTAGTTCGAAATTGGGCCGGCCTGCAGCCGTGTGCTACTGATCAGTCTAGCAGGCCGGGGGCCAGCCATGATCAGAAGTAAAAATTAGGAGCATAATATGTCATCATCTCGCCTCAGGAAAACTAATCATACAAGTTACAGTACGAGGCCAACATTTTCTTCTCGGTCGCGTTCAAAGAATCAGTCTAAAAATTCCAAGTTGCCGGATGCATCTAAAAATCTGTCATGTTCTTGGTCCTCTCGCGGCTTTCTCCCATTGGTTCTTGTAGATCGGCGTCATCGCGGTGAACTAATCAAAATATACGACCTGCCAGTTGTACGTACGTTCCTCTGTCATCTTCTCTTCACAGTGAAGATATTAATTGTACCTGCCATCTAATTAAGAAAAAAAATAATTATAAGAAAAGGAAACCTCACCAATTATCAATGTCCGAGGAAACCTCACCAGTAGTATTAGCAAGGAATTTCGTGTAATATAATAGCATAAAACTGATCAACAAGTCACATGTTTGGTTTCTGACTAGTTTTCTAGCACTGGTTTCACGGTCGTGTTCGTGTATAACATGCTAAGCTTAGCTATCTGCGCCCTCCAATCCACCAGGTCAACGTACACGCCCAAATCCGCAAGTGAAGAGCCATATCCTAGCTCCGGCCGCCGTCCCATGGCTTCGCCGCCGCCGGGGGCACTATGATCTATGGCAATATGCACAGACAGATCGAGCTGGGAGAGCTCATCTTTTTAGCCTCAGGTAGCAGAGCTCTCTTCGTTTGTTCTCTCTCTGCATGCAGTATATACTATGTTCCTAGCTAGCTACCACGATCTATATATGTATGTGTGAATATATAGTTGTTGATTAGGCTAAGACAGAGATCAGGTAACAAAGGTTGATGGTATTGATTGCTATCTTTAATTAATTCATGTGCTAATTGTGATTTCCTTCTCTCAGGTTGATTAGGCTCAGGTGCAGAGACAGCTTGTAGATAGCTCGAATGATATGACGACGTATATATGCATGAAGAAGAACATCAGGATCAAGGAAGCTACCTTTATTTGAGCTTCGGAAAAGGCAGTTGATATTTTGGTACATGGAGATGAATGATTAGAGCCAAGTGAATGGTCCAAGCACTTGCTAAATTCAGTACATACCCCTCTGCATGCCTTAATTTTGTGGATCTCTCGCTCGATCAGCGACGTCGGTCGTCATCTCGTCACAACATGGGATTGATTGGTGAGTGGTTAATATTTTAGTTATTACTAATACAGTACTCTCCCTTTTGCTCTATCTTTTCGCTGTTTTTGCTATTCGTCTTTTTATGAGGATGTGTTTGGATAATGGGAAATGAGGGGTGGGATTAGGATTGGAAAATGAATGAAGGGTTAGAATTAAATGGATGAGGGAGAATGAATAGTTAGGATTTAAAGATAGGTGGGAAATCATTTCCCTGGACATTTGCCAAACACTGCCTGAATGGTTTGGTAGTTTGATCTCCTCGGAGCTGAGACTTGTGTGTCGATGTTGTTTCTTTGACTTGTGACTCTCATTGGATTTTCTTCCCAGTTCGGGCCCATCCTAATAGAGATGGTGAAAGCCCATATTTGAGCCCATTTGAACCGAGTTTGTTATTTGGGCTGATGTTGGGCCGTAGCCCAGTTTCAATGGGCCCGCATGAGGTGTGCTATAGTACGGCGAGCATAATAATCACCAAGTTCATTTCATCTAGCCGAAAGCCATGAGGGTAAATAAAAAGATCGTCGTCACATTTTACGAGGATCAAATTTACCGTTTGTGCGTAAGAACTGCATGAGCAGCGGTAAATTTAGCAATTTCCAAGTGCTTTCGAGCTCCGATCGCTTTTCCCCTTCATTTTAATCGCGCGAGATCAAGATCGATCGAAACCCTAGCTGACCAAGCGGATCGCCGGATCGAACCCGCAAAACGCGCGCGCGCCACCACTACGACGCCATGGAAGGCGGCGGCGACCACTACGACGGCGGGCACCTGCCGGAGCTCGGCGGCGGCGCGCCGTTCTTGTTCCGCAGCCGCACCATCGGGGTGGGCGCCATCTTCCTCATGTGGGGGGCCTCCGCCATCGTCCTCGGGGCCGTCCCCGAGCCCGCCATCCCCATCGCCCACATGCTGCTCTCCTTCGCCTTCCTCATGGCGGGCGTCGCGCTGCTCACCCTCTCCGTCGCTGCCCCCCGCTGCGCCATGGCGGCGAGGGCGGCGGCGACCCTGGAGAACTGGCTCACGGCGTTGATCTAGGGTTGGCTCGATCCGATTAGATCAGATCGCGTTGATGAGTAGCTAGCCCAACTAATTAAGCCATATATGCATCTCTCGCTCCTCGATCGATTCGAGTAGCTTATTATGGAGTGTAGCAGTTAATTAATTAAGTATAAACTGTTTGTGTTGTTATGCAACTAGCTATAGCTTGATGTGTGATGATCTAATTGTAAATTTGTAATTAAAGAGATGAATGTTTTTTTTAATTTTCTGTTGTTAATGTACTGTGCATGCAGCTGCTTGATAGATGTATAATTTATACTATATGTATTGTTTTGTGGTGTATAAATATATATATTAAGCTTGAGAGTGAGTTGCCAATCTTCAATATTGGTTGCATTGTCATAAAATTTAGTACTGTCTATATATACTTCATGTCAACTTCTTAAATTTTCAGTAGTATTTTTTATTATATTGATATAGTTTCAATTCTTTGCAGTCAAAACATGCATGAATTGTTTAGGTATGCCGGCCACATTAGTTTCATGGGACAAACGAAGATTGCGAGGTATAACAATCCGGATATTTATACGGTTATCAGATAGTACAAACAAGTATGACTGATATTTGCAATTGGACTACCTGATACAATTGCCATGAGATGAATCTTCAAAAGCAAACATATGTCTTGAATGTCCGGCTGGGTACTGTGTGGATATGTAAATATATAGAAGCATGATCAGTTGATTACATGCATAATGATCAGAGAGAGATGAAGCTGGCTTGCATAAGTACACTACAGATCAAGAGCAGGGAATTTTTCGTTTTTTTCCTGGTTACGACCTTTCAGGGTTGTAATCTTATACTCTATCAATAGAACTTCGTTAAAAAAAAGAGCAGGGAATTAACAAATGCATGAGAACGCAGCATGGTGGAAAGCACACGATGCTGGTGAGTATGCAAATGTACATTTTAATGCCCCTTATTTGTTGCATTGCTTAATTCCTAGTTTTAGCCAGTTTTGCCAATGCACGGTGTAAGTTTTAAGAGTAAATTGCACCCGGTTATTTAATTAGCATAGAATTTCACTTTGCACCCGGTTATTACCACAGTTGTAGTGTGAGCATCTTACCATTAACAGAGGCAGTACTATGAGGACATGCAGTTGATTAGGCTGCAACATGTTGATATATATCAATGGTATGGCTAGCTAGTTTCTGTAACACATAGGGCATCCCACTATCTGTAATTCTGTATGCAATACTGAACTATATGCTATGCTAGCTTGTAGGACATTATATTTGGCGGAACAATTGGGAAGTGTCTGTTTAGTCCAATAATGGCTTTAATTAGCACAATATTGTCCTTTGGGGGTGAATATGTATTCTGATTATCTTTGGAGATTTTACAGTTGAAGTGATAAAATGAAGGATGCATTATGCATAGGCATAAATTCATAGCCCCAGCTGCCTCAATTCACTAACTAATACAGAACGTTTAGGTGTACAATCATCCATTTCTCATCAGCCCTCTTTCATGGTGTTTATATATGTGTGTGTTGCACGTGCTCAGTTTATGGATGATCTAGCAACAGCTAAAATGATACTACGGATTAATATTGCTTTCCTATCTGAAACAAATAGATCAGGCAATACACACATCAATCGAGGAGTCCTAATACATTAATTGTTTTATGATGTTTATATATGTGTGGGGAAACATTTAGCTATTTAGGCGTCTATATATATACTCCACGTATAAATATGCAATGTCAAATATAACTTCTACAAGTTGCAACGAAAAAAAAATAAATTTAGCTATAAATATACGTTAACTAACCATAGTTTAATTTGTTTTTTCTGTTGTAACTTGTAGAAGTTAAATCTTAACTTGTATGTTTGTGGAATGATTTATCATGTATACTAATCTATCTTGTTTTTTTAAATTTTTTTCATAACCATTTGGATGACATGCAAATAACAAAATATATCCTCTCAAGAGTTTAGAATCTATTCCGCTTGTGTGTCATACATTAATTGTATTGTTTATGCTCTACTTCCTCATTGCGGGAGTCACCAGCGTCGTCGCCGGAGCTCCCGACCGGAGGACTGGAAGGGTGTCATTCATTGATCTCCCTCTTAAAACAATAATGCTAACTTTGAAGTTTCTAATCATCAACCTACAATCTGTCTACCTATGCTAAGGCTGTGTTTGCAACCCCTTCTTTCCAACCCCTCTCATTCGTTTTCCACGCGCACGCTTTTCAAACTGCTAAACGATGTGTTTTTTTAAAAAAGTTTCTATATGAAAGTTGTTTAAAAAAATCAAATTAATCTATTTTTGAAAAAAAAATCTAATACTTAATTAATCACACACTAATGGACCGCTTCGTTTTCCGTGCAGAGAGTACAAGTTGCCATCTGGGGCATGCGAACACAGCCTAAGCTATTCTTCGCTAATTTGCTCAACAATTTTCAGGAAGTTTTTTTAGCACGTACCATGGATTTAATGGTTTCTCCTTATACTACATATGTGTATTGTGAAGAATTATTGTGTATGTGTGTTACGCCCAGAAATTCACTAGTAATTTCCGAACTAATTTGTGCATAAAATCTTCGTCCAGGAATCAGCCGAGGTACACAAACTGACAATTTAATATACAAATCCATCGTAATAATAACGTTACATACTTACAAACCAAAAGAAAAACAGCAGCGGAATAACGGTCTAGCGATGGCTTCAGCTCCACTCACACAGGCAGCTCAACTGGGGTATAAGCCAAACGACTTCTCCTTCTGGATCCTTTTTCTTCAACTGAGGTTGATTGATTATTGCAAGGTGAGCATATGACATACTCAACAAGCCACACAGCAAATATGCAAGTGTACAAGGATACCAAAGGATGGCATAACATAGGCTCATTTGCAAAAGCAGCCGCAAACACTTAAGAATAGTAAAACAGTAGAGTAATCATCAATTTTAATCAACACTGAACAGCACACCCATGCTGCTCAAGCCCAACCATCCTGAACAACTAAACCTGGCTACACATATCTAATTCCAAACCAGGAGCTAAGCAAATTATTACCAATTATAGCATCAAAAATTATTGTGAGAGGTGTGAGACTAATCACGAAAAACATTGCTCAACCCGCCCATGACTACGGGCTATTCGAATAGTTTTACTCTGGCCAGAGATGTACCACTGTACCCACAAGACACAATTCCACACATGTTACCATGCCCCGAAGTACCACCACGGCACTGCAAAGGGAAAAATCGTGACAATACCCTTCGCACAACACAACTCACCACAGTGCACCATTCCTGGATCATAATCACCCCCTCAAAAACCAGAGGCATGGACTCCCCAGCAACCCCCACGGACTTCTCGCCGCTTCTCATTCTGGCACCCCGTAATGAACCATGCTATACAAAAGGTAAAATCGTTGCCCACGCTGGCTTGTGGTTGACACGGTTAATGTCTCACAACAGTAGCTCGTGAACCGGTCCTTAATTGTCATGAGCACGACCTTCAAAACCATGTGCTCACAACCCATCATTGACAAGTTTTAATTATCAATTAATTATCATAACATGATTAACCATCGTGAGCTACCATTAAATATAACCATAAATAATAATGTAGTATATATGATTCATCCCATTAATGAGCTTATCTTTCTAAGCATGGCTAAGCAATTACATGTGTAGCATTTAGCTGAACCAAACCAATATATAAGGTTCTAGCTAAACAAATTATAACCCATAGAAAAATAAAGTCATCTTCGGCCATTAATTAATTGAGAAAGGCTCACCACCCGATGACATTCGAAAATAATGCATAAGTTGAAATAAAACATTAGCTTTAAACGGGTTCAACATGCTCAAATGGTTGTTTGGGATATGTGTGACTTGCCTTGCAATAATCGGTCTTCAATTAGTCTTCTTGAACACTTCCGACGTACTCACGAACCTTCGCAACAACGGATACGACAAGCTAACACGCAAAACAAAGAAAAAGACTAATAAAAACCAAATAAATAGTACATAAAAAGTAGACAAACATGTAGATCATAATTTTAGATGAATTTAGAGACTTGAACCACTTAATTCCGACTTCATATGAATTAGTTATGAATTTTAGAAGATTAATTCCAATTACAACCTATTAAAGAAAAGACTATTCCAAATTAATTAAATAATTTACAAATAATTTATATCTGAGATAAAAGACTAAAGCATCTTCCGGAAATTATTGCAATGAATTTAGTAGACGACATATAGTAAAAAGAACTAATATGCCATTGAAAAGGGATAACAGGATTTATATTGATTTTGATGGCCGAGATGGCGCTGATGTCAGCGATGACATGGCTGCCACGCGGGATCGACACGGCGAGCACGAGAACGGTGGTTACCAGCGAACCACGGTACAATGATGCAAACGGAGGGCACCGGGAGAGAGAGAGGAGATCAAGGCGACCCTTACCACCACTTCCACGACGACAGACGGCGAGGGAGATGGCCGGTGACGAGCTCCGCAGGGCGGCGACCTTGGGTTGACGATGGCGATGGCTTTCCGGCGACGAGCGGCGGCAACGGAGGGGTGGACGGGCTTCTCCTCGGTGCTTCGAATCCAATGGAGGCGACGGCGACCGAAGGCGACCATAGACGACGACGAACGGCGCGGCTGGAGATCAAACAGGGGTGGCGAACTCGGCCTTCACGGTGACAGCGGCTTCCGGCGGGATTTGGCGGAGGGGAACCAGTGGACGGGGTATAGCTCGACCTTGCGGAGCCGAGGGAGGTGGCGGCGCAGGAGGGCGACGGCCGAGGCGACGGCAAACGGCGGCTGGAGCGACTGCCGGCGACGGAGAGAGAAGACGAGCGTGGGGAGGCGGCTAGGGTTAGGGAAAACTTCGGGAAACAGGGGGAAACCGAAGAGGAGGCCGAGGGGATGCTATTTATAGCCGGAAGAGGGAGATATCGCCTCGGGAACAGATGGATTTGGTGAAGGAAATTAGGATTTATCTCGAGTTCACCCGAATAAAAACGGCCAAAATTCGTGAGATAGATAACGAATTTGATGGGGATTTCTTGTGGATAAGATAGAGGAGATAGAGAGGAATCCTTTTTTGCAATCAATGTTGGAAGGGAAGCAACAAAGCGACCGGATTCGGCGGAGATTGGCGCCGGTATCGGGATGAACACGGCCTCTGTCCAGCCGGCTGGAGGTAGGAGAAGCACTGTAGCGAGAGGGAGAAGGATTAGACTTTACGCTGGGCTGAGGAACAGAGAGAAGGAGGAAGGAATGGGCCGAAAAGGGCCCAAGCTGAGGAGGAGGATTTTTATTACTTTAACAAATAAATCAATCACCAAAATGATCTTTGAATTGTTAAAATTACTTCCAATGCTCAAATAATTTCAGGAAAAAAATCCTGAAACTAATTGGACACTCAAAGTACTTAACAAGATTATAATCAGACCATTTAAGGATTAATTTATTATTTAAATAATTGCTGAACTGCTCTTTGTATGATTAAAATTAGGAATTGAGCTCCAAAAAATCCGAGAAAATTCCAGAGAGTATAATTAACCATGGAGAATTTAATAAAAATTAAATCCATCCATGCTTTATATTTAGGAAATTTTATTTCCCACATTTAACTTCACTTGTAAATTAATAAACATTTAATATAAATTCCAATAATAATTTATTAAATAATTTATAAATCCTAAGACGAAAATCAGGATGTGACAATGTGTATGCAGGTGCGGATCTACCATGAGATGGCGGGGCTCGAGCCTCTACTGTTAGCGCTAGGATCATGAGAAGTACCACACGAAGGCTTCACTAAAACTTTTTTGCCATACATATATGAGAAGAGGGGTTATAGTTTTCTCCAGCTTGTTTAGATATCCGTGTTATTTTTTCATGTATCTACCACCGTGTGCATGAATACATTTTGGTGCTCCTACCTAGTATATATGGCCAGATCAGACCATGCATACAATTAATAATCATGCATACAATTGACTTCGATCTGATCCAGCCCAGCAACGGAGGTCCACGTACATCTAGACCTCCTCAGCTAGAGGGCCCAATTGGTTTTTAGTTGGGCCGAGCCCAATTGGTCTTTAGTTGGACCGGGTCCAATTGGCGTTTATTGAAGCTTAGCGCTAGGCCTAATTACACAGGATTACACTGAGAAGTTAGCTCAAACCATCGAATTAACGCAAACCAAATTAACTAGAGTACTAAACTCTGTTCGTAATCGGAGTAGTTAGCAGCATAGAATCATAGAGACGGCGAATTGATCCGGTTTCATGGGTAATTAATTAGTCCCGGCCGGACGGCGGCGACGGCGGGTTGGGCGGCTGCAGCAGCGGCAGGTTGGGGAAGTTCCAGCCGGCGGCCATCCCCGGCACCGGCACCGGCAGCGTCGGGAACTGTACCGGGATCGGCGGCAGCTGGAAGCTCGGTAGCGTCCCTGTTGGATAGTACTCCCTCCTTCCCTAAATCCCTAAATGTTTGACACCGTTGACTTTTTTAAACATGTTTGGCCGTTCGTTTTATTCAAAAAAACTTTTGTGATATGTGTAAAACTATATGTATACATAAAAATATATTTAACAATAAATCAAATCAATGATAGAAAAGAATTAATAATTACTTAATTTTTTTTATAAGACGAACGGTCAAACATTTTTTAAAAAGTTAACGGCGTCAAACATTTTGAGATGGAGGTAGTGTAAGAGATGTATACTACGTAACGTGGGACACATTGTATTGAGCCTCGGGGGCCGGTATATATAGGAGTACATGGAGAGAAGATAAGGAAGGATTACAGATATGGAAGGAGTCCACATAAATCAATCATATTCTAATATGACTCTAACTACCATATACTCTAACCGTCCTCATCCCACCACCGGCCGTCGCCGACCTCGGCATCCCCAGCTGCGGCGCGGCCGGCGGCGATGTCGATCCCTCGGCCGCTGCAGCAGCGGCGGTGTGGCTCGCCGCGACGGCGCATGAGAGGAGCAGCAACGTTGCTGCTGCTGCTGCCGGCGCCGTGCCCTTGCGCGCCATCTGTGTATATACTGAACGTCGTCGGTATTGTGTTGCAAGATTTGGTTTGCTTGGATCTCTCTGATAGTCTGAACGTATTATATAGACACACACACCACCACAGTTTGCAGTTGCAGACAGGAAGTAGTGTCGATGGTTTTGGCAGGAGACTTGTGAAGTTTGTGTGATCATGTGACGGATCATATCGATCGACGCATGCATGCATGAATGCAATCAACATAGCTACTACCAGTGTTCCGGCCGGTCTCGTGGTTGTGTTGTTTGCGTGGTCTCGGTTAGTTGTTGTTCGTTGAGGAAAGGGTTGATCAGTGCAGTAATTAGTGATCGTGACACCGCAAATTAAATACATGGCGAGACCGCCAAATTGCTATATGACCATTTGAAATTTTACTTTATTTGCTAAATGTACAAAGGAAACTCCAAAATAATTTGTCAGTGATATACTCCCTCCATCCTAAAATGTTTGACGCCGTTGACTTTTTTTAAATGTTTGACCGCTTGTCTTATTCAAAAAATTTAAGTAATTATTAATTCTTTTTCTATCATTTGATTTATTGTTAAATATATTTTTATATATACATATAGTTTTACACATTTCACAAAAGTTTTTGAATAAGACGAACGGTCAAACATGTTTAAAAAAGTCAACGACATCAAATATTTAGGAAAGGAGGGAGTACCAAAATAAACTGTTTTAGGCTAGAATTTTCAAGATTAAAATACGGACCATCCGAAGTACGTTGGGCCGGCCTCTTAGCTGCCCCGTAGATCAGCGTAGCTAGCTGGCCGGGCCAGCCAAGATCAGTACAAATTAAATTAGGAACATGTCATTGTCCTCTAGTCTCAGGACAAAAATCACAGTATAAAAACCAACATTTTCACCCGTACCGTTCAAACAATTTGTCTTCGATTTGAAGTTGCCGTAGTCTACCTTGCATTCACCAAATTAAAACTGTCCTGTTCTTCGTCGTCGCGCTCCCTCACCCTATTGGTCGTTTCAGATCGCGTCATCGCGACGAGCCATTCAATATACAGACCTGGGTGGTGTTGGAGCGTTCACCCGTCACTACGTTCTCTTCGATATATACTCTAAGAAAAAAAATAATCTGTACCTCTCATGTACTAGTAATAGTATCAATTAAATAAAAGCAACCACCTATTAAATAATGTTTGATGCTCCAGCTGGAGCACGATCGATGATCTGATTGAACGGTCTAGCTAGAAATCCGTGTTGTAAAACATAACCTGTTTATATTGGTTTCAAGCTAGTTTTTCCAATCCTTCTATGCTACTTCCTCCGTTTCATAATACAAGTCATTCTAGCATTTTTCACATTTATGTTGATGTTAATGAATCTAAATAGATATATATGTCTATATTCTTAACATCAATATGAATGTGAGAAATATTAGAATGACTTACATTATGAAACGGAGGGAGTAGGACCTTGCTTGAGGAAGACATGTTACTACAGTTTGCCTACAGTTTGTGCTATATATACTGGCCTCTATCCAGGTCAACGTGTCTAACCTGCAAGAGAGCTAATCTCCTATATGGTCTTAGCTACCGGGATCTATACCCTGCAACTGTCATCAGCTGGGCATGAAGAACAGCAGGCGGCCAGCTATATTTATTTCAGCTTAATTCTCAAAGGGTATATATACTTTGGTGAAGATCGATCGGTGCATGGTTGATTAGAGAGCCAACTGAATGGGATTTCGCTCAGTTTGATCCTCATCACAGTAGGTGCTTAATTGGTGAGTGGTTAATTAGTTAATATAAGCCCCTCCTGACCTTCTTTTGGCTCTCTCTTTTCGACGCTTTTTATTTATTTATTTTTGTTCTTGATGGATGATTATTTGATCTCCCACGATCTAAGATTGCTGTTATTTACTGTATTTGAGTTCTGACCACTGCTCCCACCTACTCAAATCTAATAGAGGCCATTGCAAACTGCAGTGTCCCCTCTAAAATGGCCCATGATATTAGAAAGCCTCTTGTAAATAGTACAAACAACATGAAACAAGCATGAGCTGATATTTGCAATTGAATTTTCTATGAGATCGATGAGAATATGCAAAAGCAAACATATAGGAGCATATGTCCGGTCGTGTACCGGCCGTATGGATATACTACCTCCATCCCAAAATATTTGACGCCGTTGACTTTTTAAAAAATGTTTGACCGTTCGTCTTATTTAAAAAATTTAAGTAATTGTTAATTCTTTTTCTATCATTTAATTTATTGTTAAATATACTTTTATGTATACATATAGTTTTACACATATCACAAAAGTTTTTGAATAAAATGAACGGTCAAACATGTTTAAAAAAGTCAACGGTGTCAAACATTTAGGGAAGGAGGGAGTATATATGTAAACAGAAGCATGGTTCCTACATGCATATTGATCAGAGATATATACTCTCTCCATCGTCTTATAAAAAACAAACCTATTATGAGATATACATCATAATACTACGAATCTGAACATGAGCAGTTTGTTTTTCATGGGATGAAGGAGGGAGTATGAAAAGCTGGCTTGCTTAATTGTGCACCATGCAGATCAAGAGCAGGGAATGCAAGAAAATGCAGCATATGGTATGTAAAATGCACGATGCTGGTGAGTAATGTTTTAATGCCCCTTATTTGTTACTTTGGTTAATTAATTTCTACTTAATTTTATCCAGTTTTGCCTGATCAGTACCCTACTTTAATTGTTTCACTATATAATTTGCACCCGGTTATTACTATATTGTTGTAGTGTGTCTATCTTACCATTAATAAGATACTCCCTCCGTCCCTAAATATTTGACGCCGTTGACTTTTTTAAACATATTTGACCTTTCATCTTATTCAAAAAATTTAAGTAATTATTAATTCCTTTTCTATCATTTGATTTATTGTTAAATATACTTTTATGTATACATATAGTTTTACATATTTTATAAAAGTTTTTGAATAAAACGAACGGTCAAATATGTTTTAAAAAGTCAACGGCGTCAAACATTTAGGGACGGAGGGAGTAAGAAGTATAAGGCTAGTTTTTGTAACATATATAGGGTATCCACTATATATCCCTCTATTCCTTTGCAATAGTACTGAACTGCTATGCTTATACTAGGACATTAATTACTTTGGTTACACAGTTGGGAGGTGTCAGTTTAGTCCAGTGGCTGTAGCACAATGTTGTCTTTTGAGGTGATTTTTTTCATCAAGTTTATTTTGCATGATACTCCCTGATCATTAAGATTTCTTAGCAACATTTATGAAACCACATTAAAAAAAGGACGTACGCATAGGCAGATATATAGCCCGTGCTTCACTTGAAGATTTGTCATTCATGCCTCAATTTTCACTAGCTAACACAGAACGTTTATGTGTACAATAATCCATCTCTCTTTTATGGTTTTTATGTGTGTGACCACGTTCTTACTAGATGCACGAAAATTATCATTTTAGAGTTTTACAGTTTATGGAATGCTTGTGTGTGTGTGTTGCAAATGCTCAGTTTATGGATGATCTAGCAACAGCTAAAATGATGCTACGGATTAATATTATTGTTTTTCTATCTGAAACAAATAGATCATCAGGCAATACACACATCAATTGAGGAACAACAGCTAGCACACAACTTATTTCATGACCACGTTCTTAATTAGTTTCTTACTAGATGCATGAAAACCATCATTTTAGAGTTTTACACTTTATGAAATGCATGACAGATTTCAATCCTAGTGATAGTAGAAAATTTTCAAATAAGCTAGCTGGTGCAAAATGGTTTCTGCGGCCGCTATGCATGTCATTCCCATTCCCCAGAAGTTGATATTGTTAACTGTTAGGTGCAAACGTTGCAAGCAAAGCGCGCATGACACACACAGCCAGAGGGCTTCATGCATGTTATTAATTACGATGGAACAAATTACTCCGATCCCATTTTAGCGCATGAAAAGATGGTTTTTGCTAACCAGCCATCTTAAAATGGATTCATTTGCAATTGAACAGTATAAATTTACATATTAATTGTATTGTTTTATGCTCTACTTCCTTCTCACGGCGAGAGTCCTGCTACTATACTGCTGGTCAGTCGGACCGAGCCATGATCCGGAAGACCGGAAGGGAGTCATTCATGATCTCCCTCTTAAAACAATTAATAAGGCTAGCTTGAAGCTTCTGATCATTAATTAACCTACGATCCGTCTAGCTATACTAAGCTACTCTTCGCTAATCTGCTTAACAACTTTCAGGAAGTTTTTTTCAAGTATGTACTATGGATTGAATGGCTGCTTATACATATGTACTGTGAAGAATTACCGTGTATATGTATGCAGGGGCAGATATACTTTGGGGGTGGCGGGGGCTCAAGCCTCTACTGTTAGTACCAGGACTATGAGAGTTCTACGAAACCTCCACTAAATTTTTTATTTTGCCATACGTATATGAGAAGAGGGTTATAGTTTTATTTAATTAGTTTGTTCAGATTCCTTGTTATTTTTTCATGGATCTACCACCGTGTTTATGAATAAATTTTGGTACTCCTACCTATTATGGCCAGATCAGACCATGCATATAATTAATCAGTAATTGTTGCTGTGGATTTTGGATCGGATGAGTGTGTTAAATCGGCTGTACTGTACGTTGCTGTTGTTACTGCTGATACACGGAACCTGCAAATGAGCATAGGAAAAGATTGTTTGCCTATGTATGTATATATGCATTTTAGGCGCCAATGTATTCGGTGTTGTTAACTAATCTGTCGACGTTTTAATTATGAATGGCAGAAGTAGCTAGTGTGCCTCAGCTCCGTTGCCTATCTGGAATGTGAGAAGGTTGTTCCTAATAACAAACGTAGCAAGATATACCGATGCATGAAATGTAAATATTTATTGAAAACCACAAATTAAAAACATTCTTAGGTTATATCGTCGACTCCGTTGCTGTTACTTTCACCATTTTATTGGAGAACAACTTATTATAGTTACCTTGGAGTCTTTGGACCGGTAAAAATACAATAGGAGCGCTAATTTGCCGCGTTAGTTTCCTGCAAATATTTCTTTGGGCGTATATAGATCGATCTGATCGAGCCTTTCCGTTTTCCTTTTTGGACAGTGATCTCCAATTTTTCTCCAATCTAGCGGGCTCGATCTGGGTAGTTTAGTTGGGCCGGCCAGTAAAAACGGTGAGATTCTATTTGGCCTTTTAATGGAAAAGTTCACTTTTAGTCCCTCCAGTAATGCCTGATTCGTAATCCTCAGGAACAAAACAAAATACTCCCTCCATCCCAAAATGTTTGACGCCGTTGACTTTTTAAAAAATATTTAACCATTCGTCTTATTCAAAAAATTTAAGTAATTATTAATTCTTTTCCTATCATTTGATCTATTGTTAAATATATTTTTATGTATACATATAGTTTTACATATTTCTCAAAAGTTTTTGAATAAGACGAACGGTTAAATATGTTTAATAAAGTCAACAGCGTCAAACATTTAATGAAGGAGGGAGTATAAAGACTTCCTTATCTATGAAATTACCTTGCCTCTCTAACCGATTTGGACAACGGTGGTTTGGTCCTCTCTCTCATCGTTCGATCTTATGATAAATTTTCTCTCCTAGTCGACGTGTTATATAGGACCAAACCATCAAAAAGGTGGTTCTTGGAAATTTTCTCATAAGAACAATGAGCTAGAGTCTATAAAGAAACAGCTTCGAGAAACGTCCAGGAGTCCTCCGACTAGCACCACATGAGTAGTTGGCTAGCCGGCCTAGGTTCCATCCTTTCTAATAAAATTCGATGTGAGAGCCATCCTCTCATACCCAACGTTTGTCTTAATAAAGAAACAGCTTCAAGACGGTGAAGCGAGGAACAATTAGGCTGAGCAGCAGAATGGTGTTGTGGTTGAGCGTTTATCCAACAAAGAGGGATACAGATACTAATCATCTATAGGTTACTCCCTCCAAATAATTTATAATTTCTTTGTGGCACTCATATAACATGAAGAATACTAGCGCTTACATGACATTACAATAATAAAATAAATAGTGTTAAAAATCTATAGAACCTACATCTAATCTCTTAGAGGTTGGACCTATATGCCAGCATCATCCATGAGGGGTTCCAACACGAAGGTGTACGTTGGGCTGGCAGCGATCGACGATGCAGAGGCGAAAATATATTTATAATTGTAGCACTACTTTGTAACAAGTAGACAATTTTCCCGTACAATTTTGCACAGGGCTTGTTGACTTAGATTTTTTTATAGACAACTATTGTCTCCTATTTCTATGTATATTTTTTCCTATATATACGCATTTTGGAGAGTATGATTGATTTGATATATAGCTCATAACTTTTGTTCCTATAGATATGTACAAATATAATAATAACTTTTATAGTACAACAACTATTAGTTAATATAAATTTGATTGCATATCTTGATCAAACAATCTAGATTTTATTCGTTTTCTTCAATTATTGTGATAACATCTTCTAGAAGATGGATATACGGGTTTTCTTTAATTTCGAGCTATCATGTACACAAAGAAGATGGGATATATTGTAGGTGTTAGGGTTGTCTATTGGATCACCTAGGTTTAGATCTAGTCGGGTGGTTCTATTTGTGATGGATGATTGAACAACAATAGAGAATAAGGGAAAGGGTTTAGGGATGTGACCGGTTGACGCGTTGGATGAAGAGGAAGTCCCGGCCATCGTCGCCGCCGCCACTCCACCCCATAAACCCTAACCGATCGAGGGGGCGCAGCCAGTGACGGGAAGACTCCACCGCCACGCCACGACCTCGCCGGGATCCCCTACGACCACCACTGCGGCGCAGCACCGTCGCCGTCACGACCACCATAGCCGCCGCCGCCCACGTCAAGCAGAGCGACGACAACGACGATGGCCGGGACTTCCTCTTCATCCAACGCGTCAACCGGTCACATCCCTAAACCCTTTCCCTTATTCTCTATTGTTGTTCAATCATCCATCGCAAATAGAACCACCCGACTAGATCTAAACCTAGGTGATCCAATAGACAACCCTAACAATGGTATCAGAGCTGCCCTAGTGTTTAGATTGGTTCGGGAAAGAAATCCAAAGAGAAAAGCAAAGAAAAGCAAACGATCCAACGGATCGAAAAGAAAAACCCTAACCCTAATCTTACCTCGTCGCCGGCCGTCGTTGACGCCGGCAACGGAGGGGGGAGGGGCAAAGAGGCACCGCCTAGGAGCAACTCGACGGCCGTGCGCGCACCCGCGGGTGCACGCGCGCACCGGCGAGGAGGCCCGCGGCGGCGCCGCCATCTCCTTCGGCCGCCACCCTCTTTCTCTCATTTCGCGGTGGGGGCTAGAGACAGTGGGGGGAGAAGAGAAGAGAAAAGAAAAGATGGCGCCGCCGTGTTTCCCCATCCACCGCCGTCGCCGGCCGTCGCCGAAGCCGGGGGGAGACGAGAGGGCGCCGACCACACCGTTGCAAGGCCGCTCGACGGCGGCGCGCTCTGCCTAGGGTGAGCACGCGCGCCGGCGAGGGGCCCCGCGACGGCGCCGCCACCTCCTCCAGCCGCCGCCGATGGCACCGCCGCTCCGGTGTAGAGAGAGGAGGGAGAGAGGAGAAGTGAAATGTGCGGCTAGGGTTCGGCCGGTCGGGAGGAAGGTTTTTTTGTTTCCCCGAACTCGGCGGCTGACCGTCCGATCCTAACCCTAGCAAATGGATGGCCGGATGGTGACGGTCGGCTGGTGGCCGCGGGCCGGACGGGCCAGGCCGGCCAAAAGTCCACTTTAGGTCCCTCAGCCGAAAGAAAGAAGGAAAAGAAGAAAAAGAAGTTTAATAAAAGTACCTCGGCCGAAGGAAGCATTTTCAATATGTTTAATGGTTGTGTTTATTTCTAAGCAATTTGAACCAACGTGAAAATTGTTTAGAGAATAGATAAATGTGAGAAATGCTTCTGAACATGTATTTTGTATATTTTCATGCAAATTACAATAGAATTTTGAATTGTTTTTGCATGTTTTACCTCTGTTTAAATTTGAACCAACGGGAGAATTTTACAGAGAGTAAGTAACAGAGTTTTGTTATTGTTTATACGAATTGTATATAGATCTTCCGCTGCAAATAGATCTAAAATTAAATTTCGAACCAACGGGAGATTTTAATTTTAGGAACATTAATTATGTGCTATGATGTTGTAATTTTTCTGACCAACGTTGATAATTGCAATGTTATAGTTATGGCTTTATGTGTTATGACGCAATCAATATGACGCAACGAAAATTCGGGAACAAACAGATCGAAAATCTATTTTATACTCCTAATTACTATTTCGCTTGGAAAATTTAAAAATCTCTAACAATAATAATCTAACACACTTTTTTTTGTTGTGTTTGTATGTTAGTTGCCTGCATTAGATATCTTGACAATACCACTCGCGGCGCCAAACTTTTCGAGCACATCGTCTTCCCACACCACCATCGCCTCCACCATCGCCGGATCGCTCGAAGGGTAGTCGAGCAGCATCACCGCCAACCTCGCCGGAGCATCCTCCTCCTCCTCCGGCGGCGGCGGCGGCGGCAGCCGGAACACCCAGGCGACCACCGTGTGGCCGGCCCTGAGGCCGTTGGCGGCGACGAACCTGCCGAAGCTCTTGAGCCGGTACAGGCCATTGCCGTTCTTGCCGTCCACGCTGCCCACCCTGCCGAACCTCATCGCCCCGTACCTCCGGCCATGGCGGTCGTAGCCGTCGAGCTTCAGGCCGGAGCTCTTCTTCTTCTTCTTCTTGGAGAGGTCGTCGTCGTCGCCGTCGCCGCCGTGGATGAGCCTCTTCTCGCCGTCGGTGAGGTCGCCGCTCTCGACGAGGCCGCGCGCGAGCTGGTACGTCAGCTGCAGCCGCGACTGGTTCGGCTTCGCGTCCGACGCGTCCACCTGCTTCCGGAGCTTGCACACGAGGTTCCCCATGCCCAGCTGCTGCAGCATGATCACCATCTGGTCTCGCGGATCAGTCGGCGGCGGCGCAGGAACGGCGGCGGCGATGGCGTGGTCGGCGGGCGGCGGCGCCGCCGCGGCGCCGTTCTGGGCCTCGGCCATCGCTAGCTCCGCACGCTTCTCCAATGGTTTATATTTTTTTTTATTTTGTTTCTGGTGAGATTTTATAGAAGGGTTTAGGGTAATTATCTCTCGGTTTAAAATTTCTTATTACAGATATGGGGAGATAAATTCTGCTGTTGTTCCTGGGCGTTGGATCTTGATCCAACGGCGGCGGTTGTTACCGAAGATATAGAATGTAAACGGTGGTTAAAAACTGACAGCTCGAGGTAAAATTGGCAATAGATTAATTTTGCATCACTTAAGGTATGAAGTACGACATTTCCTGCCTACGTACTAACTGGGCCACACAGCCCACTGCCTGTCGCCATCACGTTCCAGCCCAACTAGTTGGGCCGCACGTCTGTCACGATCCCATTCCGGCCCAAGACGTACGGCCCTCACGTGCATCATACTCCCTCTGTCCAAATAAGTTCATTTTTCACCCATTCCAAACATAGCAATACGAAATCAATAAGACTATAATATCCTCATTTTATTAAATCTCAATACGACTATTTCTTACTTTATCTATTCTCAATAAAGTCATTCCTTATTTTCACAAAGTCCAATACAATAATTACTCATAAATGAACTTATTTTGGGCAAACGAAAGAGGC